AATTCCTTTCCAAAGGTCAGGAATGTCATGTAGGTCTGTGGAAAATCACAGCAGTGGCAATGTACCCACGTATAGCCCCGAGAGCTACAGTATCACCTATAGGTATCAATGTCTAGTACGAACACCAGCACTGATGGTGGTAGGTGTACGGTGGGAGGTCAGGATATTGATATACGGTAGAACTGCTCGGCCGCGCGTGGGAGGCGCTTTTGCTTGTATGGTACACAGTTGACAGTTGCAAATTCTGAACTCTACCCAGCTGACCGTTACGAAAGGAATAGAGAAGAAGAATTCCAGATTCCGGTGGTCATGAATACTTCGAATGACCACCGTACCCGCTAGCGGGACCCACCGCAAGAACAAGGCATTTTAAGGAAATTCGGCCCACACCACCACCAAGTGGCTTTTTGGACCAGATTTCCACAATTTCTGACCCCATTTGGGCGGCATGATTCTTAATCTAGGCGGAACCATTGCCTGGGTCCCAGAAAATTTGAACAATACGCATATTAGCCCTCTTGACTTTCTGCCGACCAGTTTCTGCAACCCAACAGAACCGCGAGGATTGTCTGTAAACGGACTTGAGGGACAGTCGAGGACACTAGACAATAGAGATGCAATAGAGATAGGATTGCTATTCTTATTGATGATGGTTCATGAAAGTGAGGATTGCTTTGAACTTGAGCAGAGGATCCAGCAGTAGATACACGTAGAGAGTAGTATATAGAATTTGGGAGAAGAACTGAGGTGTCAAATGATCGTGAGAATTACCCAATCAGAGTAAGCCACCGGTCCGATCTATTGGACTCGCAGTGCAATTCGTTTGACCTCAACACTCCCTCTCGATAGAACAGTGAGGTATGTGACATGAATGAAGAGTATGCTTACCATCCGCAGAGTAGTTTTCGAATGGCGCGGAACTTGTCCAAGGTAAGTCCCTTCGTGAGAATATCGGCCTTCTGAGCTTCTGATTCGATATATTCAACCGATATGTTGTTTGTGGAACACGAAACGTGAGATCGGAACCAGTGATACTTGATATCATAGCGTTTGGATCTTGGGGTGTATTGTCCAGGCTTGAGGCGAGCAAGTTTTAGACATCCCATATTGTCTTCCCACACAGTTGTCTTTAGAGAGGTGGCTGTTTTGTTGGATAGCCCGAGTCCTTGAGCTACCGTCTTGAAAACTCTTCGTAGAGGTAAGATATCACGAATTGCCATAGACAGCGCATTGTATTCCGCTTCCATAGTGGCAGTGGCAATGTCTGTTTGTAGTCTTGACACCCAAACCACAGGGCATCCACAGACCGAGATGACGTATCCAGTTCTTGACTTGACGCATGTAGGATCCATAACGTCTTCAACTGAATAAAGACCGGCAAAATCCGCATCGACATGACATTCAATGTCAAATGAATCGGTCGGTCGCAAGATTAGGCCTTCATTTACTGATGATTTCAAATATTGCCCAATTCTGATGAGCGCTTTTATGTGCGAGCGCTTAGTCCCGTGGATGAATTGCGCACATTGAGACACGGCAAATTGTATGTCCGGACGAGAATGTCCGCAAAGATACAAGGCCATTCCGATCACGCTTGCATATGAGAAACTGCCATTTGCAGGATCTCCATTCTCGTCTTTTCCAAGGGGTTCTTTCAACGCAGGAGTGTGCTTCTGAGGTTCGTGGTCAATATTGAGGGCTTCAATGATCCGTTCGGTTAGTCCTTTTTGCGTAAGTTTGATTGTCTTGTTGGATTCGTCGCGTTTGATATGGACTCCAAGAAATCCAGCAACAGAATCTTCGATTTCCACTGCAACACCTTGACTTTTCAAACTCTCAATTGCTTCGTTTATGTACTCTTCTTTAGGACTGAAGAACAACGTGTCGTTGACGTAAACAAGGCAGATAACTTTATCTGAAATAAAGAGACATGGATCAACTTCTTCTTGAGATTCGAATCCTGCATTTTCCAGCTTCCCTTTGATGAAGTTGAAGAAATTAACGGGCGATTGCTTGAGCCCATAGAGGCTTTTATTGAGTTTCAATACCTTTCCTTCTTCTGGGTTCGCCGAAGACTTCCTTGTCTCCTATGGGTGCATGAGTGAAGGCAGCGGTGTTATCAACTTGCTTAGTTTCGAGTCCCAGTACAAGGGAGAGAATTAGGAGGAGACGGACTGTCTGCCAAGAGACAACAGGTGAGAATATTTCATTAGAATCGTAATTGATCCCATCTTTCTGTCGATCACCTCTCACACAGGGATACCCCTCGGATTGGTGTGAAACCCATTTCGGATGGGACACGGGAAGAATTTTTGCACCCCTGCAGCACCGGGTTATCAAATTCTAGCTCAATCATTTAAGGGGATCCTAACTATTACAGGGTCCAAAACTAATATTTATAGTTTATTTCTCCGAGAACATTTGGTGATTGATTAACGACAAAACTTTGTCGTAATTTTTGTCGTAGTTTGTTGTTGGGATATGACGAAATATGAGTTTTTACGTTCCAAAAGAAACTATTCAAGTACAAGGTTTTTGACACGTGCGATCGGACTTTGATCTACAGTTGTGAAACATCTATTTTCAACAAAAGATGAAAACAATGGAAAGGCAAGATCGTCGTAGGAAGATGCCGAAGAAATAGTGATTGACTATATCCAAGCTTCTGGAATGAAATGTTCCGAAGACATGGTGAAATCAATTCGAGATGGAAAATCAATCGACTTCAATGCAATTGCTCCAAGATTGAACGCTCCAACTCAAACTGAAGCTGTTGCAAGAGAAACAGAGATGACTCAAAACAAGATTCTCTATTCTGCAAAGCTCAACAAGAACATGCGAAGATCAGCCTACTTCGAAACAAACAAGAGAACCGTCAAATCAAACATCATGTTGAAGTTTGTGACGAAGGCGATGGATATCAAGCTTTGAGGTGAAGCCGATTTCACGACTACTCTTGAAGATCCAATCAAACTCTTGAAACGTATTGAACGATTCATGAAGAAGAGTGCTGATGCTGAGTATGACTTCTTGGATT